TTAATTTATTTAATCATATTATATTATGATTGTTTTTGATTGTAATTATTATAATAATGTATTCGTAATAATAATATATGTATTATTCATTGTAATAGCCTTATTAGCTTAATACTTTGCTCCTACAAGCTATGTTGTCACAATGTAAATTTAATAATCATTCATTAAGGTATATACACTGTATAGTTGATGTTGCCATTACAACTTCGAAATTTATTATATAATCAGCTGCTGTGATAACACATTCTGTGTAATTAAATTGTATTGATGCATTGTTTCAAGTATATTAGAGATATAATTCTTTTGTTTGTTGTTAGTATACATTTACACAATTGTATTAATGTGTAAAGTAGTATTATTTGTTTAATAATTATAATTTTTGCACTTGTCTTGTGCCATAATCAGTATTTATATGTTATAACATTATTTTTTTGTGTATAGTTAGTTTATACACTCTGTAGTGTTGTTTTTTGGTTTGTAGTTATTCATTATACTTTTGTATATCTGTACTTGTCTGTATATCTTAGATTTGTGTATTATATTTGGTATCCAATAAGTAATTGCAATATCTGACATGTAACTGCTGAATCTGATATATTACATATAATTACTCAACCATAATATGTGTTAGTTATTATATTGTTCTGTATTCGTTCTGTTAGTTCTATCTGTATTATTATCATTATTATCATTATTATTATTGTTATTATAGTGTCTACAATTGTATTATTGTTTATAATACATGTTAAATGTTTTATTTATTTAATTTAATATACTGTTTAGCATATATGTGCTTGTTTTGAGCATTAATTGTTTGGCTGTGATATTACTATATATGTTATTATTTGATTTATGCTATAACATATGTATGCTTGTTGACAGTGTCAATCATTTGTACTATTGTAATGTTAATAGTAGAAGAGTAGCATTTGCTTTATAAATCTTTTTAATGTTTGTCCATAGTATGATTAGTTAATTTATTATAACATGTCTCTATAATATTATAGAGTATTTCAGCATTTAATAATTGTAGTAAGTGATACTTATTGTAGTTTCAACATTGCCTGCATAGATTATGTTACTACTAGGCCAATAATCATAATCACTAAGATGACAATTATATAATGTCTGGGTTGTATGTAGTACAGTAGATTGTGTGTTTGTAGTGTATTGATTTGTGTTTAGGATACTTAGACAGGTGAGTCAAGTTCTGCATTGTAGTATACTGTGTGCATGCATGTGATGTATAGAACTACATAGAGTATAGATGTAGTAGGGTGTAGATAAAGTGTAGGCAGGGAGCTCAAGGCTTATAACCTGTTAAGAAAGGGGAAAGAGAGGTTATGTGAGAGGCTTAGAGGGATCATACAAAGAGGGGGGATAGTGGACTTGGCTTGCTCTCTTGTGGCTTGCTTCATCATCCATTGATTAGTTAGTCTATATATACTATGTAGGTATGTCTCAGATGTAGAATGTATGATGGAAGGTATTCCATCATTGTTTGTCATTGCTTGTAATGTAGTTTATATCATCTGAGACATACTCTCGTGTAGTCTCATCTTAACAAGACAAAAGCAATATGAAGAATGATTCCAGAGTCTATCAAAGTTTTGACCGACCGAAACGACTCAAGGAACTTAGCTATCGTCGCATCAGTGTTCATTATAACCATACATCCTAACATGAAATGAGACAACTGGTACTAGCACGATGGTGAATGAGCGTACTTGCAAAATTATGACGTGCATACTCTTGAATGAAGAGACAACACTCGTTAGTCTGCTTCGAGAGCTGTATAATCACGGCTTCGACTTTGTGTGTCTTGTCACGAAGAGTGTCAACTTGGTCAACGAAATCAAATGCGTCTCTCATTGCCTGCACGAGTTCGACGACTTTCTTGTCAACTTCGAACTGATGTTTGATAGTCTGTCGATAGTATTAGTTAAGTCCACACTAGGATATTGAACTTACCTTGTACATCGTTGAAGCAAGCCGCCACGCAAAGTTGGCGTATGAGTGAATCTGGAGCTTTGTAACTTTTTGTGACGGGTTTAAGAACAAGCAGACACTCACTTGCGACAGTATGTCCATGGCACTGACAAATATGTCCAATTTTGAGACTAGACTCCCCACGGAGTTATACAGATCTCCATGGTCTGCAAAGTTATTGATGGTAGCATCAATAGTCGCAACAGTACCATCCGCCGAGGTTGAGACTCCACTCTGTTGGATCGCCTGCTCTGCAGCGGTGATATTGGATCCAGTACATGTCATCGCATCCACGGTCTCTAAGTGTAAATGAAGAACTACTGCACATTCCGCCGATGCCGAACCACGAGGTGGATAAAGACGAAGCTCCACTTCTGGCAATACAATAAGTGCTTGGAAACGTTGACAACAACCGGTTCACACACCTCTGCTGTTGGCACACCTCTCCAATAAGTCATCAACCTCGACTTCAATCACGCCTACATATTTGTTCGTCCAGCGCGACGAATCATGCTTGAATTAAATATGGAATCTTGTGCACTGGTCCAGGGACGCTCTGTAGATGTACAGTGAAAAAAGAGGATGATATGACTTAAAGCGACAGCTTATTTACGCTCTGAAAGAAAGAGATTCGTCCCATTTGGGAGATACGTTGTTCTTGATAGTCTTCGTTCGTCTGCTCTCGCTACCAAGCTCGACTTGAACGTATAGATTCGGCCATCTACTGCGAAAGGTCGAGTTCCATTTCACTTCAGAAGCGCGTGTGACTGCTGACTGGTTTAAAATGATACAGGAGTAAACAAAAGGTAAAGTGCAAACCTGTCAACAACAAGTGGGAGGACGTTGAAGGAGGGACCATAGGAGCTACCACATCCAGCCTATCGATAAGTCCCTCGCTTTAAGAGGGCTTCTCAGGTAGTCATAGATTGCTAGCAACAGAGCGCTTCTTGATGTCTGAATACCATTTGAAATTTGCATTGGACGTGCCTAATAAAAGATGGTTAACGCTCATCCAGAGCAGCTTCGTGCATGCAGCGTGACAACATAATCTGAGAGAGACTGAAAAGCTGTATAGTAATGTATGTCATTGTGTGAAAGCAATAAATAATTAAGTTAGAGGTTCAAAATACTTAGTAACTTACTCCGCCATTCGTAATTTCATATTGTTGTTGATGCAGCTAGCACAGTGACAGTACTAGGTGCATCACTTTCCTTTCTTGTCTGGCAAGCTATCTGATGACGTAAAATATATTGTGTAACAGAACTATTACGTAATGGAATGCGCGAAAGGTAACTTACAGTTACTTTGCATTGCACTTCTACTCATCTATGGACCCTTTTGATGACATCGATCTAGAACCCCTACTTGATGCCTCAGTATGGCACGAAGCGCACGAATGCTTTCCAGACGACGGAACAAGTAGAAGTGACGTATTCATTTCTTTCTACATCACGACCTCGCTAACAGCAAATTTAACTTTGCCTCAGAGAAACGACCATATGAAGACCTATACGAGGTTGTACCACTCTGGCTTTACGCTCGGACGTGTCTTGAGGAAGAAAATGAAGGAGAGATAATAAGAGACTTGTTGTTAACGGATCGAGAACACCAGCGTCCTGTGAACAGACTCCCTCGGAACATCCTCGCGCTCATCTTTGAAGCTCTGCGTGATACCACTAGTACTTGGCATCCTCTACAGTCTCGTCTTTCAACTGGCTCTTCTTCCTCGCAAAGTCAAACGCAGTATGTGAAACCGTATTCGTGGTTAGATATCACTCTCGTCTGTCGCCACTGGCGAAACACAGCATATACTCACCCTTCACTATGGACTTACGTTGACTTATCATATGATCGAGAAGTCGTTCGCTCACTGCTCATTCTCTCCGAAGACGACTCTCTTTACATATATTCTGATACTTCTACCTCTGGACATGAAGTCACAACCGTCTCTGACGTTGGTGACTATGCAATTCGTTTGGACCTGGTAATGGACGAACAAGCACGAATAAAGGAACTCGAGCTGAACTTATCCTCAACGAAACACGTCAAACTAGTCCCATGGAAACAATTCTGTTCTCATCCCTCCCCTCGACTCACGAAATTAGTCTGTCGGGGAACCTCAAATAACATCAAACCAGAAAAACGTCGTCTTCCGGCTTTCAAGAAGAAAAACTTGCCTCTCTTACGAGAGTTGGTGTTGGACGGGTTGTACCCGAAATGGAGTGAGACGTGTATACCTACGCTCACTCACTTGGAGATTCGGAACGTGAATGATACACGAGATGGTTGTGTTCGAGAATTCAATAGGTTCCTTTCGGGTTGCACAGAACTTCGGGAGCTGAAGCTCGAGTCTTGTAATCTGACGAGATAATGAAACTAGTATATTCCAGTAATACAATCAATTTGTAACGTCTACATCAGGTCATACTCGAACGACGAAAATCGCACGAAACAAAGACCAAAGGAACGATCCCTTCTTATCCCAGTCTACAAAGCGAATACAGAAAGCGATATTTTTTTTACCTTTCTCATACAGCAGATTTCCATACAGACGAATTATTGGGATAGGAATGGCCACCATTCCAACTATGTCGCCACCCTTCTAAACCGACGTAAGTTGTCGTTTCTTCGAGAGTTGCCATCCCTGCACCCGTACCCGCACCCGCACCGTTACCCGTGCCAGTTCTTCCTCTACCAGCTCCACCAGGTTCCTCTTCTTGTACCTCAAGCGGATCCGTCGTAACCTGCGAACGTACTTGTATAGGCTCGACGTCTTCAGGGTTCCACATCCATAACGTCCGATCGTACCGAGTCCAGAAGAATATGTAACGTAGTGAAGGAAGGACGACGTGTATGGATGCTGCGACTGCGCGTTGGAAGGGGGAGGTGAGTGGAGGTACCCAGTGTTGCACGTCAACTTCGAGGACTTTTAGGTGAGTTAGTCGGGAGAGGTAGCTTAGGAGGGTTATATGCTGCGAAATCAAATTAGTCTTTGCTGACGCGCCACTAAAAGTGAGAGGATGTAAGGATGTAAGTACGCACGGAACGATGATCCATAGGTAAGGGTATATGTGACAGATACTGAAGGTTTGGACAGACTTCTGAGATAGTCGACATAGAGGGGAGGAACAACTCGGGAGGCATTGTTGTGATCGATAAGGAGCGTAATTTCTTAAGACGGTGAAGCTCGGGTAGTACCAATGGGAGAAGGGATACTGCGTCCTCGGAATCTATCGGGAACTTGAGGTGCGTAATGGGACAGTGGAGAAGGAAGTCGAGTACGAGTAGCGGTCCCTCGAATTGCACAAGACAGGGAAGAGCATTGGCTGATAAGGGTGCCAAAGGAGCGTTCTCCGCAACTTCTGACACAGTTAAGCATCGTAATCGGTCTTGTGTCTCAAGAAACGCAGCAACACGTTCGTCCCAAGCCAATCCAAGTCTTGCCTCTGTCGTCCGAAGAGTACGGGCTCGATCAAGCACCCACGAATGCGAAACAGTCGGATCCACGAGTATAAGTAGATCCAACTGGGTCAGGTGCACGAGACTCGCGCTCACGCGTTCCCAGAATTCACGACGAACTATAGTTGCTTGGATCGTACGCTGCATTTCGCGTTCGTGCGCTAATGCCATTCCGATTCGGTAAGGCGCGGTGGGCGATAGTGTATATGTGCGGACGTGCGCTGCGACGCGTGGACATTCTGCGAGTGTTTCTAGGAGGTAGAACTGGATGGGATGAGGAAATAATTCGATGTTCTCGTAGAGAAGTTTCTCGGCGGCGTCTTGGAGTGTACGGGATGTAGATGCGAGCAACGCGAGTGTCCGTCGATCTGCTGCTGCGCGAGCGATGCGGCGTGCAACCTCAGGCGGAACAGTAAAGGGTGCCATCTATGCCAAGGAAATTCACTCATGATGTCAGCGAGACATGTTATAGTGTGCATACAAAATTGATGTGGACTCACGGAAACGTTGTTTGGTGGACTGTGAGCGGTGCTGGGATTGCTGCCGGCTGCCTATGTATGTATGCTTTCCTTTCAAATGTGCTTCTGCCTTTCGCCACTCATGAACCTCGGATGCTTTTGTACGCGTCCTGTTCAATCTTCCGAGAAACAACAGGTCCAAGATAGACGAACGCGAGGCGTTGCGGATAAGGATACAAAGTTAGCTCCCGTAGTGGTCGGCGGTACTGGACTACTTGGTAGTAACGGTACGTGGCTGAGACCTGCTATGCTGCATGCGCGCCTCGCGTCTTGACGCGTCTTGCTCTCTGACCGCCATCATCTCTCTAGACTAGTCAAGGCTAACGGGTGCGCTCATGAACAATTCGAGCCATTCACAGTAATATATATTGACGGAGTACAGCCTGGCATTGCATCCGTCTTGCCCTCTCTTCATTTGCGGGACTTCTTCGGTTCTATTTCCCTTGAGGCGCATCTTCTCTACCCATGTCCCAGCATACTCGTCCGTCCTTCACACCCCTGCCATGCACATCAAACGACCCATGGGAGCCACTCAAATTCACTACGGGAATCTTAGGAATCTCTGAATGGGTCCCGGTCTGTTCTTGCTCCGCAGACTTCCCAGTTAACACTGTGCGCCCATGCTCCTCAAATACCACTCGACAAACGGCGTAACCCTTTCATTTCGATATGTATACACCAGTTCGAAGCGGCCATCTCCCAGCTGGTACATCATCCAGAATACAACTCTACTCTAATCCTCCGATCGGAGGTCATCGAAGACTCGGCGGCAGTGGCAGCGGCGGAGTATGAGCTACCCCAACTTCAGGGTTTCCGTCTCGTCAGGAACCTTCGGCGAAGGCTTCTGCCCCGTCGGCCAGGCCGCGACCCGCCAATTGAACAGGACTGCACGTTTTATGCCGCCTCCAACGGTGTTTCTTGCGGTGACGTTGCAGACTCCGAACAAGAACACGTAACCGAGGATGACACTGAGGCTCTGGTGAATTGCCTCGTTCTGACCCCAAAACTTGAACCTGGACGCTCTATGCCGTATTACCACCCTGCAGTCTTTCACATTGCTTTTCGTTATCTTACTTCTCCCCGAAGTGGAGGCGATGGCGTGATGTATGATAATGACGACAAGTCAGAAGCGCGTTTGCGGATTGAGGTTGTCTTGCGACCTGGTGCACCTGATCCTAAAGACATTAACTCGCGATTATATCGCACGTGTTTATCACTCCTTGAAACCATTCATCGGTATGGCTGGGGAATTTCCACGAATTATCAGAAGCAAGTTCATCACGACTGTTTGGTCTCACGAGAAGAGTACCAGGACTTGTACCTTGTTCTACGCGAACGCCATAAACATCTTGTAGGACAATGGCATGAGAACACGGATCCACTTAAACACGTTTTCGAGGTGAGAGAGACTCTACCTCTTATCAATCGAGTAATTAATCATGCGGCATCTGCCAGGACATTGGTATTGCCACTTTCCTTATGCTATTGTGGAAGCAAAACGTGCATGATGACTCTGCGTCATCATCAGAGTCCGTAACAACCAGTGGTGAGGTCCAGAACGATAGACCAGATAGCATGCCTTGGCATGATTGGCCACGTCCCCGCAGTTTCCTCGACTTCGGGTACGCCATTCATCCTTCCTTTTCCACCTCCAATTAATTTAACCTCGCCTATCTTTATTAAAGTTGCGGGAACGGTCTCCTCGTGCGTATCCTTCTCAGCGAAGGTTACGTTGGTGAAGGAATAGACCTCCGCGCACGTAACTCATGGCAGCATTATCCTCCACAAATACAAGCGCATCTACACGTTCACGCTCTAAACCCGCTCGATCTATCTCAATCTCAATCTTCAGGAACAACAGTGCCTTCTTTAATTTCGAATCGATTCTTTACGCCAGGCACGTTTGTTATTGCGAATCATGCTGATGAGCTTTCACCGTGGACGCCTGTGTTGGCTACGTTGACGGACTCGAGCGGGTTTTTGTCTATCCCTTGTTGTCCTTGGTCATTTGACGCCCAGTTCCATCGTTCACAACTTCGTTTAAAAGGATCTCAGGGCTCTGAACGAGAAACGGCATTTGCATTCTCTCCTCCAGACGGCGATGACCCTGACTCGTTCGTGGAGTCCCTCCGTCTAGGTGGTGTAGGCAACGATGCAGGAAAAAGCAGGTATGCAGCGTATCGAATATGGCTGGCTTGCCTTGGTATACAATGCGGTTGGGCTGCAGAGACGGAGACGCTGCGGATTCCGAGTACGCGCAATTGGGCACTTGTTGGTACGTTCAACTTTGCTTATAGCTTTCTTAATTTAGTAGGTGGCAAAAATTAACGTGCAATGTTCCTCAGGTCGAAAACGATGTGGGAATAGAGAGCGATCCATTGTGACTGCATTAGCTATCATAGAGCAGGTCCATGAACGTGGTTTGTTCAAGACGCGCAGACCAGAGGGCAAGGCAGGCGACCATTAGCCATCATATCATCATAATCACCCTCAATGAATGAATGAACGGCACGCAAATTATATCGTGTATTATTGTCAAAAGATGGTCTATAACAAATGAATGTCGCTAACGAATGTAACCATGTATCTATCTAATATGAAAGATTTCATCGTCGAGCTAAGCTGATCACCACCATCACCACCATCACCACCACCACCACCACCATTCAATCTAATACAACTGAAGTTGCTTTTCATAATCCCCAGCTAAATGATCGAAAGCCATTTCTTCATGCCAGTCTCGGAGGTACTGACTCCCACGGAAGTTACGTGGGTGGTACGTTCTCTCAATCAAAACCCTTACTTCTTCGTTCCCGCTTACTGTTTCGTCTGGAGAGAGGAATTGACGACGCAGGCGGAAAGTCTGGGAACGCCAGATGATGTATTCTAGACGAGGTGGGACGGATGACTTGGGTACTGCTTCGATTTGTTCTTTGTCGAGTAGGTCTGTCTTTGGATCTGACACGGCGAAGGCGAGGAGGTCCCTGTTTGAGGCGAAACATTTAAGCATTGAGGTCTTAATCAAATATAATTTAGTCAGTAGGAAGTTTGAAGGCACGAACGACAACATGAGCGACGACTCACAAGATCAAGTGGACCATTCTCCTCTTCATCCCACTCAGCAGATCCCCAACTCGGTATAAACAATGACAACTCCACAAGTCTCGGGAACGTCCGACTAACTTCCTCAAGTACACGTATCAACGGAACGTCTCGACTCCAGAAAATCAATTCCAGACAACGTAACGTCGACCCGAGAGGAGCAGCAAGGCTGAGAACGTCTAAGAAGTTCTCTTGTCTTGCTGCTGTGATTTGTAAATGACGAATTGGTTGAGCGCGTTTGGGCGCTGCGGCGAGGACGTTCCGGAACCATGAGACTGTCATCGCGCTGACTTGTAATGCTTGGACGTTTTGTAGAGTGTCAGCAGGGAAAGGCTCAAAGTCTGAATCTGTGTAAACGTCTAACGACGTCAAACCGGTGTGGTTCTTGATAAAGGGAGCGACGTCGACGTTTTCGGCTTTTGAGATCAGAAGGAAGGATTTGAGAGAAGGGAGGGTTATGGAGGAAAGAGCGAGGTTTGCGAAGACTGTTCCGAGGTAGAGATGGAGGACTTGGAGACGGGGATGGGATTGTAGGAATGTGAGAAGTGCTGCCTTCGGGTCGAACACTTCTCCGTTGGGACCTGGTGGTAACTCTTCGTCTGTGTCGAGGAAGAGACGTAGGTAGTGTATGTTGTTGAATCGACTTGAGAGGAATGGGTTCTACACAAAGAAACAGATCAGATATTACTTAGTAGAAGCATACTAAGAGAAAAAAACTCACCCAGTGCTTCATGATCAACTCGATGTACAGTCCTTGCAAAGTATCCGACATCCTCCGCAGGGCGAGCCAGACTTCGTCAGGGAGTGCCTCGAAAGGCTCGCCTGGAAGGGCATACATGAAGAACTGCAACTTTCCGTTATCTGCAAGGTGATTCAAAATGCCAACGATGGGTTCCAAGTCAAGAGGGTCCTTGTTTCGTTTGATAAGGCTTGGATGCGTAGTTGTCGTTCTTTCGGTGTCTCCACCAGCTCCGTTCATGTCGACGTCGGATTCTGGTTCAAAGTCAGGGTCGTTAGAGCCTTCGGATTTGTTATCGTCGTCGTCAGCATCATCATCGGCATCATCGTCTGTATCATTGCAGAGAATCTGCAGAGACGGCGGTCAGCCCACGTTCACAGGATTAAGAAGTACATCAAGACATACTCGTAAGGCTCGAATGTGGTGAGCAGCCCGTCGGTTAGAATTAAGGAAAGACAAAAAGGAAGATACATGATTGTTAGCGACATGTGGGAACTGGGTGCGTACGGGAAGGAGTGCAGCTTGCCAGAGGCGGTTTACACAGGAGGCAGCGTAGAGATCGCTTGGCTCAAAGAGGTACGAGCCAACTTGAAAGACGATTTCTGGGAGGCTTAGGCATGTTTCAGCCGCGCTTCGGTCACGGTTGTACATAACTCCCCTTTCGCTGAGGGCATGCCTGCAAGGAAAAAGCGAGCTTAAGAGAGCTCACTATGCTTTAAACGGGGAGCCTGGCGAAAATGCATATCATGGCTTGCAGTTAATTCGGCAAAGCGCAAAGAAATAGTGAGCAGTATTGGACGAATTTGGTCATGTTAGTAATCATAGTCAAGAGTCTGTGCAATTGAGCTGAGTACTAGGACGGTAAAGCAGCAGTATTGTCCAGAGTTCCTTCACGATTGAAAGCTTGAACAGTTGTCTAATGGGCAGTATTTCAGAGCGTTTATGAGGAGAATTTAGCTCATCATTATTGTGAGAGTTCGCATTAATGGCTCTAGCAGTATCAACAGAGGAAGCATTGACGAGTAAAAAGAATGTGCGTGTGCTCTCGTTGCTAGGTCCCACAGAGATCAAGTCTGATTTCCAACTCCACTGGCTTGAGAACCTTGCGACAGGTCCTCTGATTCCAGAGGCCCAAGAGCTTCGTCGACCGAGGAATGATGGTGGCCAGCATCAAGTCCACACCTCGGTTAGGACGCAAAGTTGAAAATGCAGCATGGTGGCAACTCCGCCAAGCCGGGAAAGCTTAGTCAGGCACTCTGCACAAAGAAACTTCAACTTCTGTAACGCCTATCGTTAACGCGATGCACGAACAGATGCAGAAATGGGGCGAAGCTAGTGCTCCGCACCGTAGCGTAATTTACGGTTACGCCTTCAGCGTATACGGTTACGCAGCGTATCGTAAATGACTTTTGGAGCTGAAAATACGCGCGTATTTTTACGCGCGTATGCGTATACTTTGCCCCAAAAAATCCCGTATACGGCGTATACGACATATACGCGGTACACAAGAGACCTAGGAGATCAGCAGTTCTCCCTATTTAATCTGACGTCGATCAATTCAACAGCCTTTTATAGATAGGTTGCTTCTTTGTACCTGCCCTTAAACTCAAACTTTGCACGCGTGATGATATGCGCGGTTAGCATTCCTCTCACCCCCCGACTGTCTCTCACTCCATCACTACTTCCCCCTGCTGCTTTCAGTAATATTAATCATCTGTTAAACAAGATAGATGCTTGATAAGAAGTAGGTAACATTGTATGAAGATGTCTGCAAGGATTTCTTTCGTCTAGGTGAGCCACATTATAGGCAATTGGTTCAGAGACTGATTATGCGTGTCTAGTGTAATCCTTGTCGTTTCTAGGTATCTTTTCCCCATATAGATATGTTTCTTCAGAATGTGCTGTGTACCTATCAAGATAATCTTTTCATCGGCAATGCCCTTATGAGATCTGTGATCATCTGTCTCACAGCTATGCTCACCTCAGTCTTCGTAGCTTTTTGCTCAAATTTGTAGACCATACTGTCTCTTGGTACTCACAAGAGCTCTATAACAGTTTAACCACTCTTGAAAAAGCTAACAATGTGATTATAGATTTGAGTAGTACAATGACAAAGGTGATCAGCTTGACAATTGGACCCTAGATCTGGTAGGATACAGTAGCTGGTAATATTTTTCTGATGCAATATTCGCAAGGTCTGACTTATTCAAATCAATCTTAGCACAGTAGCTTGAAATGGGATAGGTTATATATACTTTCAAGCGAATACTTGACGTCTAGATTGTACTGAGTGAATTTTTTCGTAGTCACAGTCTCCTGCACATTCACCGAACAGTACCTTCAAGTGCTTCCTATACACTGGTAAGTCTTTCAAACTTGAGCATGCATAGTATATTATTAATTCTTATTGTTAGTACTACAGGATGAGTGAAGATACAACAAATAGTGGAAAGCGGAAGCAACGGGACGAAGTTGACTCGGGCAACATCGTTAACGACAAACGGCAGCGTGTCCAGTCAGCAAAGCTCCGCGAGAATGCTGATACATTGAAGAAACCTCAAGCAAGGAAGAGTAAGGACCTGGGTGCTGCTAGTCACCCAGTCCTGATAGAGAGTACGGATGACGAGGATACATCTGTTCAGGAGATGGATTCTGAGTCCGATAAAAGCGAGGATGAAGAAGTAAGTACATATCCCTCTATGCTATTATTCTAAAGCTCACAACAAGCATTTTTACACTTAGGAATCTCTTCCGCGACTAGGTACACCGAAGAAAACAGTACAGGTAAGAAAACTGCTTTTTTGGATGCGTTTACATATTACAAGTCTTTCAGGCAAAGAGACGTCCTCTTGCGAATACGAAAAGCACATCAACAGTAGTCTCTCAGCAGAAAAATGACGAGTCTTCAGTTGCTGTTAATGATGAAGATGACCAAAGTAAAGCTAAAGTAAGTTTTTGTATTGATATCCAAGTTTTTTCGTGTGTTTTCTTTACATATTTAATTAGGTGTCGAACTGTATCATGTTGTTCTATAAACAAGTCCCTTGTGATGCTAATGGCTATGCTGAGGATGGAACCAAGTATTTCCAGTGCTGCCATCCTCATACTAATGGACTCTCTAAGATTCTGAAGATAACGCAAGCAATGCGTGGAAGCAAGACCGGTAGGTTTACTGGTACTTTTTCTAATATGTATCTTACTTTTTTCAGGTCTCAGGCAGCATCTAGAAAGCCATGGTGACATGTTTTCATTCTACAATTTCCTCAGAGTAGTAACAGCTTCGCGCTTGCCTACTTCTGAAGAGATAGACATTGCGAATCGAACAAGTATGTTTGCTTACATAATCAACATAGACTTGCTTAATGTGGTTTCCTTAGCAGTACTCACTCGAGAGGAGCTCAGGGAGATTGTCAAGGACTTACCTGATGCTAATAATATTGTAGAGATGTTTCAAAAGCAAGAGAACAAGAAAATGGTAAGATCTTTATTATTTACTTACGTCTATCTTTTAATTTTGTCTCTTTTTCCTTGTCATAGGTACCCTGGGAGCATGCAACCTTCAAGCGATTCCTTGTGGAATGGGTTGTTAAGACTGATCAACCATTTACTGCCACAGAGGATCCTACCTTCCAAAGGCTTTTGCAATACATTCACCGGGCTGGAAATCTTTCTATTCCATCGAGTGACACAGTGAAGCGTAACATTCAAGATATGAAGACTGAAGACTTTCAAAGAACAAAGGCAATGATCCAGGTAAGTCTACACTCATCTCTTTATTTTCTCCCCAATTCCGCGGGTTCTTTAGGTCACTTAGGTCGACCATGCATATGGCGGACTCAACCGACTGTCTATACTAGCAAGCTTGTCGAGAGCTACAGCTGAGAATGCTTGTGCTAATTGTATTACTCTGTTACAGGGTCTAGAGTCTAAGGTTTCACTATCCTTAGATGCATGGACGTCCAGTAATGGATATGCCTTTTTGGCCATTGTCATACATTACATTACGAACGACTGGAAGTTAGGTATGTATATCTAAATGTAATCTAAGTTTTGACTACTAAATTATTTCTAGATGAAAAGCTTATCGCTTTTGAGGAGATATCTGGCCGCCATAGTGGAGATAATTTGGGTGCCATTGTATGGCAGGTTATTGAGCGGTATGGTATTAAAGAGAAGGTACGGCTTCGCTTACGTAATACGAGTTCGCATTCTTCTCACATCTTTTATCCACTTCTTGTATTTCATGTAGCTGATTGCGATTACATGTGACAATGCTACAAACAATGATACTATGCTGCGGTACATTGGAGGAAAAATGCATAGTGACAATATAGATTTCTCTTCTAGCAATGCTAGAATGCGATGCATGCCTCATACAGTCCACTTAGCAGCTATGAAGGTAAGTGTCTCTTTCATTACTTTATTTCCTCCAATGCTTACACTATTAAAACAGCTCCTTGAAGCTCTAGGAGCTATAGATTATGTTGATGAGTCTGCTGGTGCTTATCAGGAGGATATAAACCCTGTGGACGAAGACGAGGAAGCTATTCGCGAGGATGGATGTGAGGAGGAGGAGGATATGTCTAATGCTATTATTTCTATTGCAAAAGTGAGTAAATAGTAATATATTTCTTGAAAAGTGTCTAAGTCTTTTTAAAGTTAAGAAAATTCGTTCGTATGATAAGGGCAAGTCCTCAACGCCGGCAGGAGTGGGTACAGGCTGCTACTCCAATGTTATCGGAGAAGGAGCAAGAAAGAGGCCAGATAGCTCTCATGCTCATCCTTGATGTCTCAACACGATGGTCTTCTACTCACTATATGCTTTGTAAGTAATGTTTTACACATTTATATATCTCTAATTCAATTTTACAGGTCGCGCACTCCGCTTTCAAAAGGCTATAGACACATTTTGTGCTAAGCGTGAGTATCGCAACTATGAGCTTGATACAAAGGACTGGGCTGCAATTGAGCTCGTATCATCTTGGCTTCATCATTTCCGACGTGCAACGACTGCTATGTCAGCTACAAAGATTCCTACCTTATCTTCGGCATATGGGTACTTTTTACACCTCCAGAACAGTCTCCGCAAAGCAATACAAGAGTTTCCTGCTACTGCACCACTACAACTAAAAGATGCACTACGCGCAGCACACAAGAAACTTGCTGACTATCTTACCCGGTTTGTTGCATCACCTTATTACTTATGGGCTACACGTAAGTCGTTACCTTACTCTCGCTCATCAGTACTTATACTTTTGTCTATATCCTTAGTCTTGGACCCTCGTATCTCATACTCTGGAATGAAACGGAATGCTATCGGTGATGCCCGACTGCTACAACTCATCGACGAGGCAAAGCGTACGCTCGAGGAACATTTTCATTCAACTTACGTTATTCGTTATCAAGGCGATGCAATCTCTTCGGATGCTCTCATGGACAACACTGAAACAAGTGTACATGATATTGCGAGTCTTTTCTCCACCGACGAGCCGTCAAACAGTAACACTGAGCTTGAGGAGTACTTCTCCATGAAGCAGGAACGGTCATGGACAGACTGTGACCCTGTCAAATGGTGGGCTGGCCGATGTGCTCAGTTTCCTTTACTATCACTATTTGCTCGGGATATACATTGTATTCCAGGTATGTTGTTCTTTGCATCATTTTCAAATAATATTCAGGTCTGTTTTACAGGTTCTTCTGTTGCTGTTGAACGGATCTTCTCATCTGGACGAGATACTATTGCTTTTCGTCGTTCAAGCCTTCGCCCTGGAACTATTGGGGACTTGATGATGGTAAAGCATACTTTGAAGGCAGTGAACAAGTCTATTTAGTTATATTCAATGTCTATAGTAACTACGCTACCTATATACCTTCTTTGTAAGCGTATACGCCGTATACGCTGTATACGCTACTAGCGTATCGTATAGCTCCCCCAGACTCTACATTTACGCGCGTATTTTTACGCGCGTATGCGTATACGTTAGAGAATTTACGCGCGTAAGCGTATACGCTACGCGCGGAGCACTAGGCGAAGCAAGCAGACCATGGAAACGAGAGGCGAACAAGTGGACAGTAGGACTTACGATACTAAATATGGAGATCGACATTACTATATATGGTTGCCTCTGTCCAGCTTGCGAGTGTGCTTTCAACCTGCCCCAGCACTTGTATCTAGGTCTAGGAAAAATCTGAGCCTCCAAGTTTTCTTTCTTTGTCTTTCATGCATTATGCTAGTACAAGTTCGCCTTTGTTCGCATGGTTGCGACTTTCCGATATGGTCTCTATGCTCGTTGTTTCCTTTCACCTAACAAAAGTACATCAATCAACATCCCGCTTAGTAGAGGCGGGACAAAGAGTATCAATCATCAGACCGCGTCAATCTCTCTTTTATACATCTATAAATTGAGGTAAGTTGTTGTAAAGCTTGATGGCTTCCCCTATGACCCTTGCTCCCTCAGATTACGAGATGTCTGAGGTATGCACGACGGACGATATTCACTTTCCGCAAGTCCTTACCTTCCTCCTTCTTTATAAAATGCCACTCTCCGATGACAGTATCGATAGCCTTCTAGGATATTCAGAGGAAGAGTCATCACGTCTTGTTCTTCCGCGTTTACAACCTATGCTCGAGCATAGTCCTGGAGAACCTATCCACTTTGACTTCCCTCGCTTTCGCGATTTTATGTTAGGCCCCGTGCACAAAGACGATTCGTGGCTCATCGACCTCGAACCCCAAAAGGAATTTCTGGCCATGCGGTGCTTCAAAGTCATGAAAGATATGCTTCGTTTCAACATCTGCAACATCGAGTCATCGTATATCCCTAACGATCAGATCGAGGACCTTCCGCGCCGCATCGCAGAGAATATCCCTCCGCACTTGGAGTATGCTTGTCTCTTCTGGGCTCAGCATCTATGCTATTCGAAATTCTCAGAAGCTTTGTTGGATGAGCTTTCTGGGTTCCTTAATAAACGCCTTCTTTATTGGCTTGAGGTGATGAGTCTCCTCGATAAAGTCAACTGCGCCGGTCGATCGCTCCTTCATGCCATGAATTGGGTCCCAGTGAGTATGTACATGTCCTTCTGAATCCGAGACTTACGCTACTCTTCTGGTAGGCCCACTGTGTAAATGTCTTGGCATTCCTCAGAGATGCCCGCAGAATGATCACTTATTATTCGCCTTCCATTTCGCAATCGACACCTCATATCTACGTATCTGTCCTCCCGTTTGCACCAATGGAGTCGGGATTGATAGCACGTTACTGGAAACCTGATCTACCCCTTGTACAAGTAGAGCAGATAGGCGTGAGGCAAAGGTCGCCGCTCCTGATGGTACTAACTGGTCGTACAGATTCGGTCTATTCCGTCGCATTCTCCCCTGACGGTACCCGCATTGCTTCCTGCTCCAGCGATTACACAGTCCGAAGTTGGGATGCAGAAACCGGGCGAGCCATTTCCAGCCCCTTTCAATGTCCTGAAGACTATATTTATTCTGTCTGTTTCTCGTCTAACGGCGTGCACGTTGCCACCGACTCTTCAAATAACACGATCAGAGTCTGGGACATTGGCACTGGGAAAGTTGTTTCTGGGCCTCTTGAAGGACATACAGACGCCGTCGTTTCGATTGCTTTCTCGCCGGATGGGAAACGTGTTGCTTCTGGTTCAGATGATAAGACCATCATAGTTTGGGATATTGAAAGCGGGAGCGCCGTTTCTATGCCTTTCAAAGGACACAAAGCCGTAGTAAATTCTGTTTCTTTTTCTCCCGACGGACGGCTTGTTATTTCTGGCTCTGATGATTACGAAATTCGAATATGGAATGCTAAGAACGGACAGCTCGTCTGCGACCCTCTCGATGGTTACCTAGGCAAAGTTTGTACAGCTGCTTATTCTCAAGGCGGTGTGCACATTGCCTCGGGCTGTACAGGAGGATTAATTCGGATCTGGGAAGCTCGAAGAGGGGAATGTATCTCCAAATTGTTCGGAGGTCATACCGACGAAGTAACTTCTCTCGCTTTCTCGCCGGACGGGAAACGCGTCGTCTCTGGTTCTAAGGACAAATCAGTTCGAATATGGGATGTTGAGACCGGGCGTGTCATTTCAGGGCCTTTCAAAGGACACACTAGCGGCGTCGAGTCTGTCGTATTCTCTCCCGACGGAACACGTGTTGTATCAGGTTCAGAGGACTGCACAGTCCGTATCTGGGATGCCGAATTTGTTCAAGACAGTTCTGACAATCTCGAAGAGCATATTGACGGAGTAAATTCTGTCGTTTTCTCGTGCGATGGACAGTGCGCTGTCTCTGGGTCAGACGATGGGACAATCCGAATCTGGGATGTGGAAAGTGGGAACGTCCTTTTGGGCCCTTTCGAAGGGCACTCAGGATGCGTCTTGTCCGTCGCCTGCTCGCCAGATGGGGGGCGCGTCGCATCTGGCTCCATTGACCATACAATCCGAGTCTGGGATGCTAGAAGCGGTGTGGTAGTTTTCGGTCCTCTCGAAGGACACAGAGGAGCAGTTCGCTCCGTCTCGTTCTCCCCGGACGGGAGACGCCTTGTGTCTGGCTCCAATGACAAAACGCTCCGAATCTGGGATATTGAAAGCGGACAGACAATTTCCGGTCCTTTCGAAGGACATATGTGTGGTGTTAACTCTGTTGCTTACTCGCCCGATGGGCGATGCGTTGTCTCTGGATCTTCTGATAAAGCGATCATAATGTGGGATGCCGGAAGTGGTGAGATTATTTTCGGACCCTTGAATGGAGACGAATATTCTGGTTTCAGTCCCAATTCCTCGAACGGACACACGCATAAAGTTCGTTCAGTAGCTTTCTCGCCCGATGGCAGACGTGTTGTCTCTGGTTCTGCTGATAAGACCATCCTAATCTGGGACGCCTATAGTGGACGGGTTGTGGCTGGTCCTTTTGAAGGCCATACCAATTGTGTTGTGTCAGTTGCTTTCTCTCCCGAGGGAGCACGTATTGTCTCGGGATCGTTGGATAACACGATCCGTGTCTGGGATGCCGAGAGTGGTCGGACTATTCTTGAACTTTATAAAGGGCACGCATCAATTATAACGTCCGTTGCATTCTCGCCTGATGGAAGGCACGTCATTTCTGGATTCAAGGACGGTACAATCAGAGAGTGGAATGTACAAGGTATGACGACAGCATCCTCCTTGCTCAATAGTTAGAGATTAACACTTTGATATGTTGCTCTTTATATAGATCCTGCTTTTTTCTGGACATTAGATGGCGACGGGTGGGTCCGTGGACTCGAAGGCGAGTTGCTTGTGTGGATTCCACATGATCTCCGCCCTGTGTTATGGCAAGCGCGAAATTCTGCGGTATTTAATTGTCCGTTCTCGGCCCGATTGGAATTCAAAAATGCCGCTCTTGGAAAACGTTGGCAAGAATGCTTTGTACCGCCTCAATGATAGCATCGTTCCGCTGCCACTTAGTGTATGGGACCTATTACCTCAAGTACCGTCGCACAATCCTCTCCCTAGTTGTTTGTATAACCATAAGATGATTGTACATTTCTCCTCAATTAATAAAATGAAAAAAGCAACTTACTCAAGTACACTTCACTGTAAGCCTACCTGATCCGCATAGCTGAAGACTGATTTAGGCGATCAGCGCACGTTTGTGCTTGCCGCAGTACTTGATCCCGTCAATCGTCATTTTGAGTTATATCAAGAGATATTAATGTCGTTAAAGGGGAGATATAAACATGAGCGTTATGAGAGAAATCCAGTTCGTCAGCTCTGTGAGAGCTCCGATTGATAGACTCTAGCAGTATCAACTGAGGTGTTCACAAGTTATGACTAAGTGTGTGCTCTCGTTTCGGGTTCTCACGGAGATCAAGTCTGATTTATCAAATTCACTAGTTAAGGATCCTCCTGGCTGGCCCTCTGATTTCAGGAGTTCCATGAGCTCCGATGACCGAGGAATATGATGCTGGTTAGCGACCAGCCCCCATCTCGGTTAAAACGCAAAGTTGAAAATGCAGCAGAGTCGCAACGCCAACCATCCCAGGAAAGCTTAGTCAGGGGTAATCTGCTCGAGGGAAACCTCAGCTCCTATAGCGTTTATCCTTAATGCAATGATGCACGGAGAGACGCACAAATAATCTTCCATTGAATGTATAAGCGCTAAGCCAGTAGAACATGGAAACGAGAGGCAAACTTGAGGGTTGAGGGACATTCGATTCTGAATATGGAGATCGACATTACTATATGTGGGTATGCCTGCCTGATCCGGACGATTGAAGCTCAATTGATTGGCGCGCGGTTGCCACAACATTTGCTCTCCTCCATCATCATCTCGAGTTATAGCAAGCGTTTGCACTTTGATATCTTCTCACAGAGCATGCGTGCCGCCATGACCATAACTGGGACGTTTAGCGGCATCCTCTTCCTCCCTCCCTCCCTTCCTTCCACTCCCTTTCTCCTTTGGGTTCTCTTGCTTTCGGCTTTCCCTTCGGTTTCTCGTTGTAAATTATTCATTCGCTCAGCAAACTGGATTTGCTCTTCTTAGTCTTAACTTCTCGAGGCGCTAAGAGCGGGCTCACATGGCGGAAGACGAATCAGCAGTCGGTAAGAGTGACCTCACTACGCTCAGTCGCCGTTGCTTCGTACTCATAATACCTAAGGCATAAAGGCATCCGACCCTCACGCTGGTACATATCTTGCGGTTTGGCTGTTCTTTCAAATCGCAGCAGATCATGTTGGACTGCCCATCCTTGTCGCGACGTTTTTATTTGCCAAAACTGTTAAACGAAATCCTACACTGATCAATATGTGCATCACTTGGATCATTGCTGGTGTTTCCTCATCGCTATTGTACGACTCTTGTGCGCTAGATCTACAGATTTTCATTGACGAGCTCGCACAGGTTTTACGCGGGGAAGCAGTCTGGCGCAGAACCAGGCAATGCACTGTGCATTCTTCAAGCTGCAATGCTGGAAGGCACTCCACCGATGTGTGTGACGTTCTATTAATATCAAGACCTTAATTCCTTATTGACGTCTGATACGCACGGTTGTAAGGGTGTCACTATCTGCGTTTGCTCTAATATACACAGTATGGGCTTCAATGACATGCAGGTCGTCAAATCGTAATCCCAGGGTGGCCATGTTCTGGACTTACACTGTAAGTACAGCATGCATATATTAGCACTCAGATCACTACTGAATGGCATACACGAGCAGTTATTGATCGTTCCTTACGTTGCACTCTTTTCATTTGCTTTGGCAACTTCTATAGTTGCCATTCAAGACCTTCGAAAGGTTAATCGGGCGCGGCGGTTTTTTTACTGCTCTGTTGACAACAATAAGCTGTAAGTCCTTTTGTATTTTCAATATTTCTATACAAATCCTAATAAGACGTCAAATGAAGGTCAAACACTATGGGAATATTCAGTTCCGTCATCTGTTTGATTTGCCTAATTTTTGAATGTCTGTCCATTCTTGTTTCATATTCTATTTCCGCAATTTGACTGATACCATATTCCCTAGTTTTGATCGCCGTTCAAATCATACGGGCCTGGCGAGCGTTTAGAAACTTTAGGAACGATACTCCAATCCACAGACGTGGCTTTGATATGCAACTAATCCTTCGATTATTTATCTTCTCTGGCTACGTCCTCATCGGGTTGATGTAAGGCGACAAGCACTTTCCCAATTCGCAAAGGAACGAACTAATCCGCGGTCCTCCCATGACTCTAGCTTTAATGCGGCTTCCGTCTACAGCATTAAATCTGCCGTGCCCGATATTTTCGCCGCATCAAGTGAGCAACTCTTTCAGTTGAAAATAAACTGGTCATTAATCACGCTTGTCTAGTCGGAATGGGCGTATTTATCATTTTTGGCACTCAGTCGGTTCGTCTCTTGTTCCGCGCGAGTTAATAGCTTTCATTTCTGAAGTCATATCCTTTTGTGTTGTAGGACGTTCTTCGTGCATGGGCATTTTGGCTACCAGCCAAGCCTCCTCCACCACCGCCGAAGGATACAAGAAATCTTGACGGACCCACCTTTGATTTTGTGTCACCCCGCGGGAATTTTGCACGAAACCCCACTTCTACTATCTTGTCTGAGACAGAGACATTAAGTGACGCGAATCTCGCTGTGCATACGCACGAGTCTCGAGTCGGTGCACCGAACGTGGCTGAGCACGAGGTCCAGATGGACAAGAAAAGCTCAATGATGTGGAAGAAAGCCGATAGTGTAATAATTATTGGAAAACCGGAAGAGGCATTTGCGAGTATGGGCAGAGATAAGCATGATTCCGTGTGACTTCCCTTTTTCAGTGTTGGCCATGTCTTTTTGTCGTCCGTCTTACGCTGTGCGTCCTTTTTTTAATTTATCCCTTCGCTATGTGCTTGCTTTCACTTTGCCGTTCTGGTTCTAAATGCTGGCATAATTGTTTCATAGATAGATAGTCGCTCCTTTCATCACGATCGACACGTACTAAAGAAATAAATCTGTACATTGGCTCCTTGTAGTCACCTTGCAGCGCAATCTGCCCTTCATGCGTTCATCCTTTGTGTTTCCGCGTTAACCCTCATGGAAGAGCCAGCCACAGCTCCATCAGTCTGGTAACATTCGGAGTACCGACGCCTATTCCAATGGAATATCAAATCTAGTGTACCAAGGTGATGCAGGAAAGTTTATACACACCAGTAACCGGATCCCAACCAGTCGTCGCGGTGAACCCGGGCGTACCTATGTAACAAATGGTCCATCATATCAGAATTACATTACATAGGATCATTGAGGTCGTTGCCAAAACGACACGCACCGCATCCTTGATTTCCACCATGTGTGATGTCGTTAAATGCACTTGCGAATTCCGCGGAATATATCTGTGTTACATGTGTTCGAGTTGGGAGCAAATTAAAGAGATATACAACATAATGCGCACAGTCGGGTTGATGAATCCTGAGAAAGCAAAATCAGGGGCGTCAGATTTACCACTTTTAAGCTTTCATCGCATGTGATAGCCTTACCAACTGGTCCTTTCCCGGCAGCAATACGCGCATCATTGATGAGAGTAAGGAAGGAGCCGACAACGGGAGATGAACAGGATGTTCCAAAGACTAGCTCGAATTCGCCGTCGACACTGAAGTCTGTTAGGCAGTTAGTATCCTAAATGCATGACGAGCACTTACCCAATCACATAGTTTGCACTATGAGTAATTTTCATCACAAACGCGTTCTTTAATTTGTATTTTTACAATCACTCACCCATTGGCACTCAGATCCGGGAACGCACGAACCTAACATATCGAATCAGAAAGTCCACCATAATACAAATATCAGAAGGATCGCACATTTCCTGAGTTGTTAAATTGGGCGGAGGTGAACGGCGGTGGATGGTTGGTCAAGAAGTTAGTAACAGCATCAGCCTGATACGACGGCATCGCAAAGAAGTTGCTAAATCCTCCGCCACTGAAGATGACCTGTTCGCAAGCGCCTTCCGGATCGTTTACCGTATTCCCTGGATCGATCTGCGTTGCACCGACTGCCGTGACGAATGGACAGGTCACTGGGAAACCTGGATTGAATTTTGTCCCGTTTCGCACAGGTCGGTCTGTAAGTAGCCCAGTAATTAGCATATAGTTATGAAGATAAGATTTTCTAGTAAATACTTCGAGCATTTAGGCAAAGATCACCATTCCCTGCGACACCGTCGTCTCCAGAGCTGTATAGAACACTGCTGCCCATGAGACCCAGCTTAAACTACATGAGTCGCTGAATATTAGATGTCATGCTACTGAACTCTACCTTCCCGTACTCATTACATTGTCGAGTTGCATAAGCAAGGGTAACATCAGCCTCATCCGAACCAAAAGAGACGGAGACCACCTGTAGAACTATGCTTTTATCAATGGTATGGAAGGAAATCAAGATGGACTTACATTCGGCGGTGCTAATATCCCACAAGATTCAGGACCTGAGGTGAAAAGGATATTAGTAATGGAATGTGAGATGATGGATGTGGTTTTACCTTTAAATCCTCCGGGCGCCGGATCTGGATAGATGCCGTCGAATTCCGGATTGTCCCCTCCTAAAATCGCTTTCACTACGTAGTCTTATTGAAAAAGAAAACGGCTTACCTTCGAACGTGCAGAATGAGCCATCGACAGCGTCCAGCCAGTTATCAAAGGATGCCCCTGTACGAAAATTTATAATTAGCATACAAGACGACCGTGGCGAAGAACATCGAAATCTTGCCCTCCACGAGGTCTCCAGTTTGAAGCAATGTGATCGGTTGCGGATTTGTCAAGGCCATGGCATATTCGAGGTCAAGGTCAGCTTCTCCGTTATCGTCGAAGCCTTGTTGCTGCGTCTGGTCCACACCTAAGAAGTTTCAATCAATTTTAAAGGAGAAACGATGTAAGGGGCAAACTGACCACCATCAATGGAAACGAGATTCGGAGAAACACCGACTAGGTTGGGTGAAAAGTTTCCAAAGAAGAGGTCTTCGCACAATATGAGCATTCAATACTTTATCGCCATGTACTTTTTTTCCTTACCGAGATCGCCTTGGAGGAACGCTACTGGAGTGAATTCCACTGGAAAGAGAAGCATAGCAATTAGAGATTGCTTATCAGAAGCTGTTCCCGCAGCATACCTATTCCGTACGTGTTCCTGTCGGTAGCGACTGGTGTGTAATTTACTGAATACAACGCTTGGAGGCATGCCACGGTAATTGTCTCATCGCAGTTCTCCAATGCAGGCGTGATCGTGACGTCGGAACCGAGAGGCATCGGCCCGCGCAAATGGGAATGCACGAGCGGTTTCTTTCCGGCCTGACGTTTGTGCCGAGGCTTCGCTGTACCGGACAAAGTACGCTTAAAGTGGACCGTTGGCTTGATTAACTCGATGTGGTCCTTGACGTGATTAGGCACATAGTATGAGTGACAGCCTGAAATGCGCGTCGAGCGAACATCAGTTGTAGCCAGTAAGAGACAGGAGAAGCTCCTTACTGATCTGCTCCAGGCCCGTTTCGGAATGCGTATAGACATGATACTCCGTGTTCAGTAGATCTTCTACCTCCGAAGCGGTTGCATTTACAACATCCATCCAGACCTTGCTAGGAGATAACTTGATCCTGTCCTCGGAGAAACCAAAGCTAGTGAGCCAATCCTTTACAGTATCGACAGACGAACGGCTTGGCGCGAAGGTATCTATCACCTGCTCCAGAGTCAAGTGCTTGCCATAGTCTGGAGAAGTCGGATGAGAAACTGCCATCAGCATGTCCTCAAGTTGATCTAAGTTGCTTTGTGCAAGGCCAATGCGTAGTGGAAGAATCTGGCCAGGATCGAGACGACCAGATTGAACCCATTCTTCTGGTTCAAACGCTCGTTTCTCATGCAATACATGGTTTGCACGAGGGGACGGTGCAGCCGTGGCTGCTCCGACGAGCAAGCTGAGGAAGGCAACTTTACGCATGCTGGGGCGCACGACTTGGATGGGTCGTAAAGTTCAAGCGTACCGGTCTATCAGCTTATAAGCAAAGAGACTCTTTCAGTTTCTCTGGCCCTTGATTCTTCTACCTCAATCCCATATGTTCTGTTTCGTACCCAGCTTGTAGACTCCCTGAGAGAACTGCACCTAAATTTAGGCCAAGAGAATAGCAAGAGGTGATACATGATCTGCGCGTGGAAGACCAAAGCGGGATGTCACAAGCCTATTGGTATCGGAAAATGCGTGCTGATACTAGTAAGGCGGTTCTCGAAATGCTAACAGTGGGGAATGAGTCCGACTGAATTCAGAGGAAAACAAGCGATCCGAGCTTTAAGCGAGGATAATAGGAAGAACGGTGAGCGTTCCGGACTTTCTTATCGAGAGAAGAAAGTCTCTTTGAAGGTCGAAGTTCTGAGTGTTATGAAGTCACACGAGACCAGCTCCCTGGCGTGAATGCAAGGCCTGGTTCAATCAGATGTCAGAATGCTAGCCCTACTTTGGAGAATAGGTCTGCGGCTGTCCTAAGCGCCCCAGTCAGCATAATCAATGGAACACCATTGGCCTTCAGAGATCATTTTGTGTGTACGCTAGGTTCCTAATCTTCGATATCGTTCCAAACTGCGAACATGTAGTGTATACATAGACCGGTGCGGTATACCCGTGGCCAATTCTAGAAGAGAAATGAATTATAATTGTTAATGGTCATTACCTCATTAGTGTAACCAATTGTACGGAGATTTTAGCAATGCAATCAAGTTATTGGCACATGGAGGTGAGAATACGAAGCAAGGCGAAGCACCAGAACTTGCTCGGCGGCACGGGCCGGCCCTAAGCAAATTACTTAAACACAATTTCACACGCATGAAGTCTTATACTTCCTTGGCTTGTAAAACCATCCAGGAAAGCAGCAAAGTATAATGTCCTCAACCGAAGCTCAACTACAAGCCTTCTCATCTCCTGGAGAAGATGCAATTACTAGATCTCTAGATGTCTCTTCTGAAAAAACGCCAGCTCCAGGATCGAGTAGCTTCTTTGCTTACTACGAGATTGAAAATACCGTCAGAAAGATTGAACAAGGAAACTATAAACGGGTCCGTTCGAAGTCCCGTTACTCATCTAGAAATGTCGCTTCTAATTTTTAATGCTGGTCACCGAATTCTTGATGTTTAGATTGCTTTACAGTTCCCGGACGAGCTGCTACATGACTCTGTACCAATATTCCGCACTCTCCAAGAAAGGCTGGGTCCGCAAAGAGAAGCATACGTTCTCGCTGACACGTCATATGGCAGGTGCGTGAGCTTCCTTTATCGAGTGCGGCGCGCATATATGCATGTTAATTTACTTACAAAATCAAGCTGTTGCGTTGACGAGGTTGCTGCATCACATGTGGATGCAGACGTCCTAGTACACTACGGACACGCATGTTTAAGCCAGTACGCGAAAATCCTATCACATAGCTCAATGAGGAACCTGCTATTGCTTTATTTACTTACTAATTGTGCTCTAGGACATCCCGATTGCCAATTATTTACGTCTTTGGTCAAAAGACGCTTAACGTGGAAGACTGCGTCGATAAAATCTCTACTTATCTGATGGACAATGTCGAAAATCTACGGGACACCAAGGTCCTTCATCTAAGGCATGACGTTGGCTTCACACACCTCGGTGGTATGTTACGTATTAGAACTCACAAATATCGATGGCAGCTGACTGCGATCATTGACAGACGAGCTTGCTAGGTTACTTCGGCTTGCAACGAACGATCGATACTGTATAAAATATGAACACCTGCCGGAGCAAACCATACCTAGATCTGCAGGTACAAATGACCCACATCAAGCAGGGCGTTCGGCAGCTATCAATGAACCAATTATATGCGCAGCTTCAACATCGTCAAGCGACTCCTCATTGAATAGGACTTTAATGGTTTGGGTCGGCGAGGAACCGCCAACGCTCACCAAGATCTTGATGACTTCATCTGGGAGTAATGTAGGCGCCAACAAATTCCCATCATTATGCCTGTCATTTACTCATCCATGTAATCGGGTAGGTAATTTCGTATAATCCACAGTCAGGCGTCGTCCAAGAGCAGACATACCGAACGAACAAGCTCCTGATGCGGCGATACGCAATCCTTCAAAAAGCTCGGGATGCAGACGTCTTCGGTATCCTCGTCGGCACGCTCGGAGTTGGTAAGGCCAACTCACAATTCCTACTTTGCATTACTTACAGACTCTTGAATACTTCCATTAATAAAATAAGCATCATATTTGCCTCTGATGAAATACCTCCGAGAACGTCTAAAGCGAGCACACAAAAAATCCTACACAGTCTCTGTAGGGAAGATCAATCCAGCCAAGCTTGCGAACTTCATGGAGATTGAATGTTGGGTATGGGTTGCATGTAGTGAGGGTATAGTAGATTCAAAGGTAGTACTTCGTTATCCATCGAGTGACTAATAACCCTTTTGATTTATAATTGTGCATGTTGAATAGGACTACCTTCGACCGATCATCACTCCGTACGAACTCGAGCTTGCATTGCAGCCAGAACCCGACTGGACAGGAAAATATATCTTTGATTTCGAAGAGCTTCTTGCAAAAGCGTCGCTTGATGGAGGTAATCAGAGCACCATTTTACATATCCATCTTCACTGTATAGATTTATCCCTTTGTTTAATTCCAGAAAACGAGGAGAGGAAAGAAGACGCTGACCTAGATCGACCAATGTTCTCTCTCGTCAGTGGGACGTACCGTCATGCCAAGCGATACGGTGTCGGTAAGTATATTAAGATTCTTTCATAATACAACGTGTTTATGATCAATTTAAACCCCTCCCTTGAAATCAAGGCAACGACGAGAAAGAGGAAACCGTAATAGACTCTAAAGAGCTCACAGTTCGCACGCAAGACAATGCACTAACGAAGATGGATGACAGTGCAGCAGGTAGCAATCTCTCCTGTCATTAACTATCCGAGACTTGAGCTAACAATTATTAATGATTCACAGCTCAGTTTCTTCACGCACGATCGTACCAAGGATTAGATCCTCGTTTAGGCCAAGATGCACCTAGTTTACTGGAACAAGGTCGAAGTGGGATCGCCCGTGGGTACAGTGACGATCATCGAGAATCAACTGGATAAGAAACCTCGAAACTTGAATTGACTATCAGGTTGTATTGTAGTTGCCGGTTAGGAATACAATTGTAATTTTCTTTTCTTGGTCTTGGAATGTTTGTCCTTCGACACGCATATAAGGTTTGCCTCCTTGATCTGAGTTTGAATTGAAGATCGACGCGCCCGTTCACCTTCCTTGAAAACAAATAATAATCTATCGTTGCCTCGTTCATTGGGTTCCTTGGTAGCAACTCTGTCTCTTGTTTATTATCCTCTTTCTTTGCCGCGTCCTATATCTCTTGGAATACTCTCGAATCTCAAGCACAATGGTTCTATTCTTCACTTCTACTGGTACTTGTCTCGACGTCTCGCGAATGATCTGAAGGTCACACTGATTTGGGTTTCTCCTTGGTTTGTACTATCAGCAATGGACCCGCCCGTTACGATTTACATGGGCAAGGACAAATTCGAAAGTGGGTCAGAAAATAAGCTATTATTTCGCTAATGAGATCGACTAAGACCTTTAATTCACTGCGTCGCCACATCCACACTCTTCCTAAACTCCTATTTCAATGATCGTAAATGGATACCACTTAATTAGACGAAGACCTAATCAAATATGCATGGCCACAAGACGTGTGGTTCCATGTTGACAAGCTCTCGAGTGCACATGTCTACGTACGTTTACCAGAGAGTGTACCGTCATGGGAGGGGATACCCCAGGCTGTGCTTGACGATGCAGCGCAGCTTGTCAAAGCGAACTCGATCGAAGGTAGAGCCCATTGATATCCATATTGTATGCTATATTGACCATAATGTTTGTTTGTTATAGGGAATAAGAAAGATAATCAAACGATCATATACACGCCGGCAAGTAATCTCAAAGTAAGTTTCAATAACATTATCGACAAATTATCTTGGCTGCTGAGATGCTGACTCTTGTTCTTCCGAAAGAAAACAGGTGATATGGCAGTTGGCCAGGTTTCGTTTCACAGTGACAAGAAAGTGAGTACCTTTCGTCGTTCTAGTAATATTGTTCTAGACCGATGGAGAAGAATACGTAGGTCAAACGAGGTAAGAGTCGTGCATCATCACACTCTCTCCGGTATTTTGGTGAACCATAACACCGATCCGTTGCTAGTATACGTTGAGAAGCGAGAAAACGCTATCGTGAATCGATTGAACAAGACAAAGGTCGAACGCGAGGTTGACCATGAGGCAGAACGCGTCGAACGACTTAGGAAAGAGAAAGAAGCCAGCAGAGTTTTCGCTGCTACCAAGGCAAGTTCTTATTATTCCTCACTGCCATCTTCGTTGAAGTCATTCTTATTTATTACATTCAAATTTGGTGTACAGCGAAAAGAAGCGGAGGAACTTGCAAAGCAACGAGCAGCGGAGAAAGCTGCTCGAGATTATGCGTTGTTGGACGTTGTGGACCCGGAAGACGGCGAGGCGACGAACGAGCCGAAGAGTGTACAGGAGATGATGGACGATTTCATGTAATATTTGCTTTGTATTTTTTGTCTACTTGGTTTAGTAGAAAGAGAGTGGAAAGAGATGGATAGTGTGCTTGATCAGCAGGACTGTATCATTATAAGCACAATGACATCGTCAGCAAGACGCGTACACGATAAGATGGCTGCGATAGCATATATTCTTGAGACCAGCTGCAGACCGCCAGCGTCGTCGACATGGTCAACTCATCTTTCAACTTTGCTGAGTGGCCGCCCGCACTAACCGACGCCCAACGGACACACCTCACTGAACTTGCAACGACCTACGCGCTCTCGCACGGTCTGCTCTATCTCCCTCCCAACACCGACGCTCTGCCACCCCCAGCACCGACTTCGGCCATCCATGCACCACTCTCTCTCCTCCCTGCTCCATTTCCTCGTCATCTCTTCCAGAATGCTTTACGGCTACAGAGGATATACAATGTGTTGTACGCGCGAATCGCGATGGACGAGGAGTTCCTGGATAAGGTCATGGGCGAGGAAGTCGCACCTGTTGACGAATTCACGGGCGAACTATGGAGGAGCTGGAGGAGGCTGAGGGATGAGGGGATATCTGAGGTACGCGTTGCCTTTATTTCATTAGTATTGTGGAAGAAGAGACTGAATTTAATTCGCGTGTTGTAGTCATTTCATCTGGGTATCTTCCGCTCAGACTACCTCCTCCACGCACCTCAAGACTCAGACGAGCCCGTCTCGCTCAAGCAAGTCGAGTTCAACACCATCTCGTCTTCCTTCGGTGCGCTTTCTGATCGTGCTTCGGGTTTGCACAAGTTAGTTAATAATAATAGTCATGTTTCTCTCGTTTCTCGTATATGAGTAGTGGCTAATTTCTTTTTAGATATCTATTCGCAGCGACGAACTATTTCGGAGCAAGCTCATACCTTAAGGCAGAGAACCTTCCGAAAAATAATGCGACAAGCACGGTTGTGGAGGGGTTGGCTGCTGCGCATAAGCTGTACGGGGTGAAAGAGTATGCCATTTCACACTCTGAAATCTTTATTTATCTGGGTTGGCAATTGAGTTGTCTTGCATCATAGGGCTTACGTTCTTTTTGTCGTTCAACCTGGAGAACGCAACGTGTTCGACCAACGATGGCTTGAGTATGAACTTCTCGAACGGCGCGTCTCCTTAGTCCTTTCCACCGACTATAAATTAACACAGGATGCAGACATAACATTCATGTCATCCGACAAACATTTGACGAATTCCTCGTCAGCGCAACTGTCACACCCTCCCGAATACTGCACCTCACACCTCCCTCCAATCCATCCTCACTCTCATCTCAACCAATTGAGATATCAGTAATCTACTTCCGCGCGGGCTACACTCCCAAAGACTACCCGGCACCCGCGTACTACAAACTCCGGGAAACACTGAGCCGCTCCAAGGCAATAAGCTGTCCAACATTAGCCTTACAGCTTGCGGGTGGTAAGAAAGTACAGCAGGTGTTGACAAAGGAAGGTGTACTTGAGAGGTTCCTCCAACCCTCCTCTAGGAAATTCGGACCGGAGTCATTTACATCGGAGGACTTACAATTACTACGATCCTCCTGGGTCCAGATGTTCTGCCTCTCCGACCAACCTTCCATCTCTCAACCAGATGGAATAACCCGTGCAAAACAAGAATACCAACACCTCGTACTCAAACCGCAACGCGAAGGTGGCGGGAACAACATCTACCACTCTTCCGTCCCATCATTTTTAGAGACACTAGATGAGAAAGAAAGAGCAGCCTGGATTGCTATGAGATTGATCGAGCCTCCTGCTGGAGTAGGCGGCTACCTAGTTCGTGCAGGGTCTGGTACTGCCTCCGTTAATTCCGGTGAAGGAGTGAAAAACGCACGATCGGACGTCGTGAGTGAGCTAGGTATCTTCGGTTGGGCACTCTTCGGTGGACCGGGTGGACAAGAGAAGGAAATCCTGCAAGGAAAGATCGGGAATGAGGATGAGGATGAGAGCAGAGGATGTGCATGGCTTGTGAGAACTAAAGGAAGAGAGAGTGACGAAGGCGGTGTTGCCGTTGGGTTTTCAGTTCTTGACTCTGTGCTTCTGGTGGATTGAGCAAAATAGAGCCCTTGACAAGCATACATCCGGTTCAAATTGTTCAATAATGCATGTGAAATGTATACATGCTCCATGAATCACAGTCAAACACATCTGTGAAAGTATGATGTAGCCAAATAGATGCTAATTCACATATATCGGCAACAGGGTTGTAGTATTACTAAGGTCGCTCAAAGCATTCCTGCCATCGTTCCCCAAGAGCGGCGCTGGAAAGGTCCAGTCTAGTTGAAAACGGGCAACTGAAAACTGCAGTATTCTGCGACCGCCAAAGCGTTGGGCGAATATCAGGCGGAACCCACAAAATCAACTCATCTTCGCGTCCACGTATCCATCCATCTTCACCCAACGTCCAGTCAAAGACGGGATCTATATTGACGGCAAAAGTAGGAGACAAGGTGTCAGAGCGTTGAGTGCTGTACAAGAGAGAAGCCGCCTTCCTACCTTCTACATTCCACATTCTGATTGTATGATCCCGTGATCCAGATATGATGTGTCTTCCATTAGGTGAGAATGCAACAGACACGACGAACGAAGTATGCCCTTCAAAGGGTTCGAAAATAGCCTGTCCACTCTCAGTGTCCCAAACTCTGATTGTCCTGTCATTGGAACCCGAGACGACGCGTGCCCCGTCGGGGGAGAAGGCAACTGACCGAACCGAGCTTGTATGTCCTTTTAAAGGTCCAGCCGCGACCTGTCCGCTCTCAGCGTTCCAGATCAAGACGGTTGTGTCATCAGATCCGGAAGCAACGCGTGTGCCGTTGGACGAGAATGCCACCGACCAAACCCAATCTGTATGTCCTCTCAAGGGCCCAGAGATGACTTCCCCACTTTCGCTATCCCAGATTATGATTGTTTTGTCGCCAGAGCCAGAGACAACACGTCTCCCGTCAGGCGAGAAAGCAACGGACACAACCCAGCTTTCATGCCCTCTGAAAGGACCTGAAATTGTTTCTCCACTATGGGCATCCCAGATTCGGAGCGTTTGGTCTTCTGAGCCGGACACAATACGTGTCCCATCGGACGAGAAGCAGACAGAGAAGACCTGCTCTTCGTGTCCTTTGAAAGGTCCGGAAACTATATTCCCGCGTACGGTGTCCCAGACTCGGATTGTTCGGTCGCTAGAACCGGAGGCAAGTCTCCTTCCATCCGGCGAGAAGGCAACAGATAAAACATAACTTGAGTGCCCTTTGAAGGGTCCAGATACAGCTTTCCCACTTTCAGCCTCCCAGATTCGAATCGTCGTATCATCAGAGCCAGAAGCAATGAGTCTCCCACTGGGCGAAAAAGAAACAGAAGTGACTTCATCTACGTGCCCTTCAAAATGCCCAGAAACGACATGCACACTTTCGGCATCCCAGATTCGGACTGTGCCATCTTCAGAGCCTGACACGACACGGGTTCCGTCGGGAGAAAATGCAACAGACCGTACATAGTCAGTATGCCCTTTCAAAGGCCCACAAACAACCTGACCAGTTACAACATCCCATATTCGAATAGTCCGGTCATCGGAACCAGAGACGACGCGTTTCCCATCTGGTGAGAAAGCGACAGAACAAACTTCATCATCGTGTCCTTCGAAAGGTACCGATAAACATTGTCCACTCTCCCAGATCCGAATTGTGTTGTCCGCAGCACCTGAGGCGACGCGTGTACCGTCATGAGAGAAAGCGACAGACCAGACAGCATCTACGTGACCTCCACGAGGGTCACAAATGGTTTGTCCTTTCTCAACGTTCCAGATTCGAATAGTCTCGTCGTCGGAACCTGAGACAATGTGCTTTCCATCAGGGGAGAGTGCAACAGAATTCACAGCGCCCACATGACCTTCGAGACACTTGACGGCTTGTCTACTCTCAATGTCCCAAACCATGATAGTCTTGTCAGTCGATCCAGAGAAGACATGCATCCCATCAGACGAGAAAGCAACGGATGGTACTGAGTCGGTATGTCCCTCAAGAGGCCCTGAAACGACCTGCCCATTCTCGATGTCCCAGACTCGAATTGTCTTATCCTTGGATCCGGAAGCGACGCGTGCACCGTCGGGCGAGAAAGCGACAGAGCATACGCTGCGTTCATGTCCTTCAAATGGACCAGAAATGACTCGTCCACTTTCAGTGTCCCATATTAGGACCGTTTTATCGTCAGAGGCGGAGGCGACTCGAGTACCATCAGGTGAGAATGCAACGGAATTAACCCAGTCAGTATGACCAGTGAGCACTTGCAAGAGCGGGGATCGCTGCTTCTCGCCTATTTGCTCTATTCGTATATATGACGTATCAGGTTTCAAGTAGCGCGCTATAAGCTTTGACTCCATCGATGCAAACGGGAGGACAGATACATAGATATGAGGTATGGACTCCGAGATAGGTAACGCAAATCGAGTGATTATTCTACGCGCATCTCTCAGGAACGCCAGCACTTCCGCATTACGTGACTATTGAATTTGCACATGAATTTCAGGTTAAACTGTATGTCTACGTACTCACCGAGACCCAATTTATGGCACGAAGGAACGCTGGACTAGCACTGTTGACCCTCCTCAAGAGACTCATCACCTCGAGCCAATAGAACAGACGTTCATGAAGAAACTCCGTCAGGACACCCAGCAATGCATGCGTGAATTGCAAGTCCTGCAAGTGTTGGCTCCAGAAGAGACAGGCATAGTCCAAATGTGGGGGAATCTTCGCCTTGATACGGTCGGGAAGGTCAGGGATCCGATCATTAGAGATATATGATGACTCTATGTCGCAGATATTGAACTGCAGCTTGTCCCTCATGACGTCAAAGCATCGCGAAGTGATGAACTCATTTTGAGCCTCGGGATCTATGAACCACGGGTCGCTCTTGCAATCTGGTGACAATAAATAGTCACGGAACGACGTATGGCAAAAGCGAATTGGAGTTCCAGGTGTATACACGAGGACGGACCGTAAGCGAGAAAGAGTAAGACGTGATGGTCTTTCGTCCGAATACCCAAGAAGCTCGTCGATCATATTATCGGTGAGTGGGTATTTGCCGAGAATGATAAGACCGAGTATTCGCGAAAAGCGAGTCTTGGATGCTTCGTCGTCAAACAAGATGCCTGAATCTCTAAGAACAGAGTTGTATAGATGGTTGAGCCCCGACAAGTTGTGTGACCGAGACGTCAATTCTTTCAATTTCCGAATTGGGTCATCGCAATCCACCATTTTCACCGCTGTTGATGCCCAGACAAAAAGGCCATCCGCTGCTCCTCCGAGATGGTCCATCTTCGTTTGCCAATCACCTGAGATCTGCAGTGTATTTTTCGCGAACACCTTGCGCATCTCGTAATCAATATACCGATGCACGTCATCCTTGCACGTTGTCGAGTCGTGTACTAGCTCAACGGCGCAAATGCACTCAAGTCGGGAAGAAAATGCTCGATCGATGTCTAGTTCCCTTCTGCTCGTGATGAAAAATCGGAAGTTCCTGGGAAGAGTGGGAAGTCTTTCTCGGAGGAGTTCCAGCAAGTGCTTTCGGCTGCTGCCCGTTCCACATTCATCCAGTGCGTCGAGAACAATGATGACTGGTCCCTGCATTGCCTTGCCAACCTGGACAAGAGGATCATTAATGAGTTTCGCAAACTGGGTCGACCCCGGAGCTAAAGCAATGTCGTTGTCTTGTTCAATTGCCTCGAGAACATGTCGAGCCACGGAAGAGTCGAATAAGGCTAGTTTATAAGCGAGTGTGCAGATGACAGAGCTCGGCTCACTCTTGCCTCGTTCAAAAAATAGATGAGCACCAAGACGGGATATGCCACGGAAATGTTCCGCAATTGTCGTGCTAACAGTGCTCTTGCCAGATCCTGCGACGCCGTACAGCCAGAAAATGTTCTGACTTGAATCTGACAATGCCCACTCCACGGCCCGTTCCAGTATTTCCAAGCGCGTGCCAGGGAGGCATTGCGGCCGATCAAATGCTCTCATCTTCTCTGGCTGGAGTCGATTTTCCAGAACTTGTTGTAACGTCATCAACAGCCAAAAATCACAATGATACTATTACGCACATGAGACATCGACCTTGGAAGACATTGCATCGACCTTCAATGTCAAGGCATCGACCTTTGAATAAGTCCGCGACGATACAAAAGCAACATGAACCCCAATTTCAGAGTCCATTGAGTCTTTGAGTGACCGGTACGCGTGAAGAAATTCATCGATCGTCGAGTTAGCGTCCAGCATAATCATTCGCCCTGACTTTAAATGAAGCAACTCAAGGTAAGATGATTAAATACAGACGTACTTGCAAATTTGCGTCGTGCATACTCCTGGATGAAGAGGCAACACTCATCTGTTTGTTCCAAGAGGCGCCTTATCGTGGTCTCGAGCCTTTCTGTCTTCTCTGGGAGAGATTCAGTTTGATCAATAAACCCGAACGCATCCTTCATAACATGTGCGAGCTCAACAATTTTCTTGTCAACTTCAAATTGGTGCTCGACGGCCTGCAGATGATGTCAAGCCGAGAGTCGAATGCTATGCTCTTGAACACACCTTGTACAGCGCCGAGGCCACTTGCCATGCGAAGATGACATACGGATGCACCTAGTACGTCTAAACATCATCTACATAATTAAAGGCTTTTGAAAGCTTACTTGTGACAACGCGTCCATGGCACGGACAAACACGTCAAGTTTCGAAACGAGGGTTCCCACAGAGTCGTACAAATCAGCGTGACCTTGAAAATAATTCGTGGCAGCATCAACTGATGTAACAAGGGCCGAATCGGTAGCAACCGCTGAAGTCGGAATATCACTGTTTTGGATTGCTTGTTCAACATCATCGATGTTACGGCTAGCTCCTGTCATCGCGTCCACGGCTTCTAGACGCAAGTGAAGGACTGCAGTGCATTCTATCGATGCTGCATCGCGGGCCATATTAAGGCGAAGCTCCGTTTCTGGCAGTCTAATTAATACATCAGAGATATATGAAAACCTATCCACACACCTTTGCCATGAGTGCAGTTACTTAATAAGTCAGAGAGTTCCACTTCGATCTCGCCCACACACTTGTCCTTCCATGACGAATCATGCCGAACTTGAACGTTAAACTTTGTCCTTCTCACGTGGCCTGTAGGCGGTCTGCAGACGTGCGATTAGGAGGAGACCTTTTATCGAACCGAAAGCTCTACTCACAGATCAAATGAAAGTGATTCATCCCACCTAGGAGATAGATTTCTCTTGACGGTCCTGGTACGTCTCTTAACGTTGTTGAATTCGGCCTGAACATATAGATTTGGCAGTCTTCTGTGATTGGTTGGATCCCATTTTATGTCGGAAGCACGAATGACTGCAGAGCCCATCAACGTGATGTAAAATAGGTGAGACAAGAGGAAAGTATACCTGTCAGGGAGAGGCGAGAAGCTGTTGAGGTAGAGGTCATGGCGTGATGGAGGAGGGAACTGTCCTCCGCTTATCGAAGGTCCTCTGGTTCTAAAAATAGACTTCGCAAACGCCCATAGTAGGTGGATATAAACAGAGCATTGACCATGGGCCCTCCGCATGCCTGATGTTCGATTCCTTTTGTGTCAGCACATGAATCGATAGAATGTTGATTGACACTCATTTACCAGTGCTGATCAAGGTCAGGTGGGAGGAGAAGAGAATGGCAAAGGTCACCGGGAATCCTGTACAGTGGACTAGAAGCAGCAGAGCTTGGTTGCCTGAAAAGGGTTATTTATGAAGAGAGATGTTCAGAGATACTTTGACCTGCCACTCAATGGCGGGCTTGCACAACCTGTGTTTGCAGCGCTGATTCACTGCTAAAGGCCAGGTTAACTGGTTACAGTATTTCGTGTCTTCTAGGATTAGGAGAAAGTGACAGACTATCAGCGTGCTTGATCAAAGCGATTGAATCATTATGAATGCAACTACACTGTTAGCAGGAAACGTGTACAAAATAAGATGTACAGACTACGTTAGAGATCTAAATGCTCTAACACGTGCCTTCCCTGCACCGCCAGCATGCACCTCCGCGGCCCTCAGCCATCCATGCATGTCGCCTCCCTGCCCCGTTTCCTCGCCGTCTCTTCCGAAATGTTTTACGATTACAATCATTACAGAGGATATGCAACGTGTTGTACGCGCGAACCGCGATGGACGAAGAGCACTTAGATAAAGTTATGGACAAGGAGGTGCACCTATTGATAAGTCTACGGGCGAGCTTTGGAAGAGCTGGAAGACGATGAGGGATGAATGGATATCTGAGGTACGTATTGCCTTTATTTCAATGGTGTTTGTGGACAATGAAACTGAAATGAGGCTGCGTGTTTGTGTAGCCATTTCATCTGGGTGTTTTCCACTCGGACTACCTCCTCCACGCACCAGAAGACTTGGACGAACCCCTCTCGCTCAAGCACGTTGAATTTAATGCCATCTCGTCTTCCTTTGGTGTGCTTTCTGATCGTGCTTCGGGTATGCACAAGGTCGTTAATAGTCATACTCCTCTCATTTCTCGTATATGAGTAGTGGCCGACTTCTTTTTAATATCTTCTCGCAGCGACGGTTTACTTCAACGTAAGCCCATATTTGCAGGCGGAAAATTTTCCGTGGAACAATGCAACGAGTGTAGTTGCGGAAGGCTTAGATGCTGCGCATAAGCTGTACGGGGTGAAAGAGTATGCTATTTCACTCTCCGAAATCTTTACTTATCTGGGTTGGCAATTGAGTCGTCTTGCATTGCAGGGCTTTCGTCCTTTTTGTCGTACAGTATGGAGAGCGCAACGTGGTTGACCAACCATAGCTTTAGTACGAACTTCTCGGACGGTAGACCCATTCATATACAGTGAAACCTGTCATTAAGCATGACCCACTGTGGACAGGTGAGGCCATGCTTAATAAGAGGTTATGCTTGTTGACAGTAGCTTAAGTAAAGTAATAAAATTTCCTTATTTGTAGTACATAACTCAATAATACATTGTCTACTTAAAAAACAACTGAATATCAGTCTGTTCAAGAGAAATATTTATTTTCTTCTGTAGGTTTCTTGTAAGCTTTGGAAAAAGTGCTCTAGCCTCAGTAAACTCAGCACCAATCTCACTCTGAAAGAGTGCATTAAGCTTTGAAAGCAATTGGACAGCCTCTGCATAGCTTTTGATGCTTCAACTTTGGTGCTTTGCCATGGGCTGGATCCTTTGGTAGAGATGTATCATCAACTGTACTCGTTTGTGGATGAATACCAGTGGAAGCATGGATATCTGGAAGTGGAGCTGAGAGATTGACAGGGGAAGCTTCTCTAGAATAAGTGAAAACAATTTCACTAGCATCCTTGAGTGTTCCATCTGGGTTCTGTGTACATCCAAGCTCCTCAGACATGATGAATGATAAGTTTTAATAGTGGTTTTTATTACATTACACATTTATTTTACAAAATGGTAGTGCTCTGCACTGTAGCGTAATTTACAGATACGCCTGCAGCGTATACGCTTACGCACCGTATCGTAAGAGAAAATTTTAGCTGAAAATACAGGCGTATTTTTACGCGCGTATGCGTATACCATAAGTAAAAAATTTCCGTATACGCCGTATACGAGTATACGGTATTACTAAGCATATTCTCTAATTAAATACTAAGTTTGAGTTTCTAAACCTCATTTACTTTACTTATTTATATACCAAATCATTTTAATACTATATAACAACCTTGTTTAACTTAAAAAGTACTAGTATG